TCTAAAATCACCCTTGGATGTAAGATGTGAACAGTTTTAATGCTTGAAACCACATGCCTCAATGTGCTCCTAGACAGGCCACAATGCACAGGACTAATGTTTGGAAACCTGATGTGGGAGCCAGTTTGGCATGAGAAGCTCTGGGCCCAGCATGCTGTCTGTTCCCTAGAGGGCACTGGCAGACAAGCCTGGCAGGGGGTTGCAGAGTGGGTCCCTGCATGTGTGGAACAGCAGGGGTCTGTGCTGTGGCATTGCAGGCTGCACTCCTGCCCCATTCCCTGGATGAGTGAGTGCGGCTGTGCCTACCATCCTCCCCAGTGCCTGCTGTGGGGGTGGTGGCAGGAGCAGTGCAGCTCTTTGTGCAATGTGCTCTAGGATCAGGGCCATTCACTCTTTATATGCTGGTCTCCTCCAAACTCATCCCATCCACCCAGCAGCTCATTTCCAGGCAACTGAAAGTCTCCCATTGGCGGAGTTTAGGGGAGTGTGCTGACAAGGTTCCTTGGGTGAATTTGATATCTTTTATTAGACCAACCCAAATGGTTGGAGAATAGTTATTAAGCAAGCTTTTGGGTTCAAAAACCCTTCGTCAGGCTAAGGAAGCTTCAGCAGTTGGTGTGTGCTCTTCCTGGCACTTAATCCCTGAATGCAAGTGCTCTTTGTGCCTTTTCCTTGAGTATCTAGCAAGTTAGCCTGTTCCTGCTGGTCTTTCCCCTCTGGGTCTGATCTCTGAGGATCTGGGAGCCAGACCTGCTTGTGAAAGGGGGTGAATGGGTTGGGTGGTGGGGAGGAACCTACCCTGATTCAGTCTATTTTTGGTTCTATGCTCCGAAGTTGCCATCAAACTAGAGACCACATCTAGCAGGCTTCCCGGAGTAGGAGTAGCACCAGAATCTCCATTTGGCTCTGGGTCCAGCCAAAATCCTGGGAGAACTTTCAAAGGTACAAGGTTAACACTATTAGGTTTGCAGACACAATTCACGAGAGAAACCCAAGATTTCATGTAGAAATCCATAGCTGTGGTCTGTCAAGTTCTTTGCAACAGGAAAAACTGCTTTGATAGTTTTCCATAGTCAAAAACAAGTGAAAACTAAGATCTGACACCTTCCAAGGGTGTCTGAGTTTACCCAGAGGTGCCTGCTGTCTAGGAAAGGTCGAGGACCACTGTACTAGAGGCTAGAGCTGTGGTTCTTAATCTTTTTAGACTGGAGGTGCTCCTTATTAGACTCAAGGCACCCCTTGGAAAATTCCAGCAATTAGTTTTCACTCACTTTTTGACTACAGAAAAATATGTGAGCAGGGTTTTTTTTTTCTGTTTCAAAGAACTCAGGAAGACCACAACAGGGCAGACCATGTTTTTAAGGGTTCTGCCAGATGCTGAAATGACACCAGCTGTCGAGTTGTTACCCATTTTCAAGCACTAAATTGGGAGCTGGTTAGCTGATATAGATCTATCTCTATATATCGATCTATCTACATAGATAGATCTATTATATAGAGAGATCTAGAGATCTAGATGTATATAGATCTAGATCTTGATCTGTAGCTGGATAGTCATTTTTATTGTGTCAGAATTACTTTGCACTTGTGGCTCATCCAAATTTATTGCAAGACGATCCAGTTAATTGTGTGAGAATTACTTTGCGCTTCACCAATGAACTGTGTAATATATATGTAATATGTAGGAGGGAGCTCAGGCTCTGGATGCCCCAGTGAAATCCTTGGGCTTCTCTCCTGAATTGTGGGCACACTGAAGAGTGTCCACAGCACATGGCACCCCGCGGCACCCTTGAAAGGCTCTCCAGACACCGCAGGGTGTTGTAGCCCCTGGTTGAGAACCTCGGGGCGAGAGAGTGGGAGTTATAGTCCATCAGGTGCATCTCTCCCCTGCCCTATGGCTGACTTCAGTGGCTCAGGGAGGGGCATGCTTCCTGAGCAAGAAGGGCGAAGGCCTGCTGAGGTGAGCCCCTCCAGGTGGGCTACCAAGGGCACCCCCCACCTCCACCTTCCCCCAGAGGCTGCCATATCCCCGAGCAGAGCGGGGGGCCGAGGCTTGCACATCCCAGCCTCTCCCCTAGGGGCAGGTGCCGGGCGGGCGGGGAAGGTGCCTGGGAGCCACCAGCTCTTGCCCTTCGCGGGCCCCGGGGCGGGGGCTGCTGCCGCCCGGTGCCTCGCGG